GCCAAAGCCAGCACTTTGAATTGGGCCCGGTAGCAAATTGGTAGCCAATGGAGCTGGCGCAACAGAGGGGTTATATGCTCCCTGTGTGCCACCCCTGTTAGTATCATGGCTGCCACACGCTGGACCAATTGAAGCTTCTGAGCCGTCTTCAATGGCAACCCCACGTAGAGAGCGTTGCAGTAGTCTAAACGGGATGTAACAAGAGCGTGGACTACCGTGGCCGAGTCAGACTTCCCAAGGTACGGGCGCAGCTGGCGCACAAGCTTTAACTGTGCGAATGCTCCCCCGGTCACTGCTGAAACCTGGGGTTCCAGGCTCAGTGGTGAATCCAGGATCACACCCAAGCTGCGAACCTGCGTCTTCAGGGGGAGTGCGACCCCATCCAGCACAGGTTAGAATCTGTCTTGCTGTCTCTGTTGACCTGGGATAACCCCACCAAGCCACCAGAGGGCACTGGAACCTAATTGTTGGAACCCATTGCCCAGTGTACAGTCCTGCTTAGGAAGAGTTGGATTCTGAATCCATACTCTGTTTACTGTCAGGGGTCATTTGAATGCAATTTTCCTGCTTCTTAGCAGAATGGGGTTGGACTGGATGGCCCATGAGGTCTCTTCCAACTCTTTGATTCTATGATTCTACTATCCAGTCTCAGTGTCTTGGTTGGATTTGAGGGTGAAGTGAGGGTTGTCAATCAGGAATGCAAATGTGCCCTAATGGAGATGGGAAGGGGAGGTTACATTGTATCTCTTTCAAAATACACTGGAGTTGATTGTCACGATGCCAGGGCTCTGCCTTATTCAGGAAGAGATGAACCAAACAAATACCCAGTTTGTATCAAGCAGTTTAAATAAAACAGCACTTACTTTCTGGCTGCTTTAATAGCTCAAATATAAAACATAAAGATTACACTCATCCACAGAATATAAAACAAAAACAGCAAACACTGTTGCAAGTTCAAGATAACTCCATAGTCAAAAGGGTCCAGTCCAGTGGTCAAATGCCGAGAATTCAATAAACAAAGTCCAGGGATCAAGAGTCTATACTGTAGTTAAAAGCCAGTCCAAAGATTCAAGGTTCCGGGATTCCAAAGCTTCAGGAGAAGTACTAAATTGAGTTATAGATAGAAAGATAAATTGAGTTATAGATAGAAAGATTTATTGAGACATATAGATAGATATTGAGTAACATTGAGAGTTATATAGACAGCTAGATTAATAGAGAAGCTATTGAAAAAGTATTGAGGATTTGCCTCCAAAGCAGATAGGGGGAAAATCTGCTTTTTACTAGCCACAGGAGCTCAGGGTTAGGGTGACCAGGGGAGCATTTGCACAGCTAAAGCTTGTGCGCCAGCTGCGCCCGTACCTTTGGAAGTCTGACTTGGCCACGGTAGTCCACGCTCTGGTTACATCCCGTTTAGACTACTGCAACTCTCTACGTGGGGTTGCCTTTGAAGACAGCTCGGAAGCTCCAACTAGTCCAACGCTCGCAGCCATGATTTTAACAGGAGCGGAGCGCAGGGAGCATACAACCCCCCTGTTGCGCCAACTCCACTGGCTACCGATCTGCTACCGGGCTGAATTCAAAGTGCTGGCGTTGGCCTTTAAAGCCCTAAACGGTTCCGGCCCAAGCTACCTATCTGACCGCATCTCTGCCTATGAACCCACCAGGACTTTGAGATCTTCCGGGGAGACCCTGCTCTCGATCCCGCCTGCTTCTCAAGCGCGGCTGGCGGGGACGAGAGATAGGGCCTTCTCGGTGGTGGCTCCTCGGCTGTGGAACGCCCTTCCTACGGACATTAGACTAGCACCATCTCTAATGGTATTCCGCAAAAAGGTGAAGACCTGGATGTTTGTGCAGGCGTTTGAGTAATTTAGTGCAATCTGGTAATGGAACATAGGAATGGAACAATGGACGACGAACCTGGACTACGCTTGGATGATGAGAAGATTGGGTACGGTTGTTTTTTGTAATAATTGTGCATTGTAACTGCTTATTGGTAATTTATGGATAATGTGTTAAGTCAATTGTTATATGTTGTATGGAACCACTGCTGTTTCTACTGTTTTTACTGTTTGTGAACCGCCGTGAGTCGCCTTCGGGCTTGAGATACAGCGGTATAGAAGCAAAGTAAATAAATAAATAAATAAATAAAGGGACTCCAGAATTCCTTATTTTTACCTTTTGGAGAAAGATTACCTCAATACTTGAATGCACGAAAGCTCATCTCTATGCTTTACCAATTGACTGTTTGTAACTTTGATAAGCTGTGCCAAGTCTACAAAGACTTTGGAAATAAATTTATTTATTATTTATTTATTTACTTCATTTGTATACTGCTCCTCTCAGCCCTTAGGCGACTCGGAGCGGTTCACAACAATTCAACAGTATACATAGTACAGACAATAGGCCTTTAAAACAATAGCATCACAATCAATAAGCATAGCATCAATACAATAAATGTTCCGTTTGCTGTTCCATACTTGAAGTGGACTCAGTTACTCAGAAAGTTTGAGCTTTTAAAGAAAGATCCCAGCGGTCCGCCCAGACAAAGAGAGCAGCACATCGCGGTCTTATTTTTAAGGCGTCTGAGTGTGAGGTCAAGACACCGAAAATCCACAAACCTGGGGGAAAATCAGCAGCATCTACCACCAAAACAAGACAAATACTTTTCTCCCAAAGATCAGTCCCAAGGCTCGCTCCTTATATCCAGAAACACCCAGTTGCAACCAATCTCTTCAATACCTCCACCCTTAATTGCTTTCGCCCATGAACCCTTACTTACAGATTACTCAGCCCTTTAGAACTAAGACTTACATTAAAGCTTCCATCCCCAACTGCTAGGCCTACCACCACCAAACACCATCAACTGCAGAACATGATACATGACATCAATGAGGCAGAGAGGGCCATCTTTGAAAGTCCCTGGGAACTTTCCGGGAATTGGGAAGGCTAGCAGATTTGGGATGGATGACGGGAAGCCTTTAGCTAAGACATGTAGAGGATTGACGTTAGAATGTGACTGAACTGTTAACAACATCTAAAAACATCTTAAAACCTAACAATAACACAAAGCCACTGAAGACCAGCAGAAAGCAGTTTCTCTGTTTCTTTCTCTCTGCAGTCCAACCCCGTGATGATCGATGCCAAAGAGGTCTCCGCCGCGCACAGAGCCCGCTACTTCTGGGGGAACCTGCCCGGCATGAACAGGTGGGTCAGAGGTGCGGGCCAGCCACACAGGTGCCCATTGATTCCTATCTCTCCCCCTTCTGTTCCCCTGGTAGTGTTTTGGCAAAGGCTTCAGAGCTTTTTCTGTTGCTATGCTGCTTTGAAGTTTATCCCATTTCTTTGCTGTGTTGTTTTGTTTGACAGCTTCAGAGTTCTTGTGTCTTTTTCAGTGAAGTTTTTATTTGCAGATTGCTTTTGATGTTAGTTTTCCCATTGATGTTTTGTGAGCCTTGTCTGGGGCTCTGTATTATGTTATGAATAATTTTTCAATCACTTAAAAGCATAGGTTCTTTTTATTGCAATTTTCCAGTCAGAGAAAGAGTATCAGAACTTTCACAGAACAACACTTAGACATGCAGCTTGTATGTAACTACATTGACTCCACAAACAACCTACAGTTACATTGGCTAACAAACAGAGGGGAATTATATGTTTACTCAACATTCACACTTCACATATAAACATTCATTCATCATGCATCCATCCCTATATTACCACACACTTTCTCTCTCCTTGGAGAGGCACCTACTTAGGCTAGTTCCTACTTTCCTTGCAATCTGCCAGCACACAGTTCCAAAACTTCCGAAACACATCCTCTTTCCCTAAGAACTACGCAAAGGATCAGTTTCCCTACAGCAGAAACTGACTCCCTGGAAACATATCATGACTCCAAAATCTCCCTCCTTTCTCTTCACTTGAGAAAAGGAGCAAGTGACCAGACTGCGTTCCATTGCAGATCTGCCACTCCCAAAGGTACACCATCTCTCTCCTTCCCATGGAGATGAGCACGGTGGGTGAGCCAGACTCCTCTGGTCTGCCACAATTTTGGAATATTAGAAGGTCTCTTACATAGCACCCTAGAGGTGAGAAAAGCGGTATAGAAAGACTGTAAATAAATTAATAATAATAATAATATTTTCCCAGGCTCAGCCAGGCCTTCAAGTGCTAATGAAGGTGGTCAGTTGAAACATTCACACCTAGCTCCAGAATACAAGAGTCCTTTGTCCCACCCTAATCTTTCCACAGATATATAAACCCCTTTTCCTAGTTCCAACAGACCTCACTACCTCTGAGGATGCTTGCCATAGATGCAGGCGAAACGTCAGGAGAAATGCCTCTAGAACATGGCTCTATAGCCCGAAAAAACCCACAAGAACCTACTTATAATAATAATACTTTATTTGTACCCCGCTACCATCTCCCCAAGGGACTCGGTGCGGCTTACATGAGGCCGAGCCCACAATACAACAGCAAACAGTAACAACAATAATACAAAAAGAATAAATAAACTCATAAGCAAAAATAAGCAATAAACACTAACAATAACACGACGCATTTAAAAACCTATGGCTGGGCCAAATGTAATAATTAAAAATTTAAAAATAATGCTGGGCATGAACAAAGTGACATGCAACTGGGATAGAAGTTTTGGAGAGGGAATAAATGTGCAGACAATCTTAAATCATTATTAAAGTGCGTTTAAGGACATATTGCTTTAATAAATAGTAGGGCTGGGCGGTTTCGTTTCGTTAATTCGTAATTCGTTAATAATTCGTTAATTTTTTCAATTACAAAACGATAACGAACCATTCTGGAGCAATTTTTTTAAAAACGAATTTGTAAATAGTTTTGTAAATGCTTCGTATTTCGTTATTGTATTCATTTCGTTATTGTTTTGAGGTCGTTTCGTTATTATTTCCGCATGTCTGGGGCAAGTTTTTTGTTTAATTAGTGAAAAAAAATTATAATATCACACCAACAGTCAACAACAGAGGGAGAGGGAAGCTTCAGAAGTTTTTGGAGGTTTTTTAGCGTATTTCGCGGTCGCGTCCGCCATTAACGAATCGATTCATTATTGTTTCGGAAATCGATTCGTTAATGTTTTGTAATTTTTTTCACATTTACGAAATTTCGTAAATATCGAACTTTTTAAAAGGAAAATTTTGTAATTATTTTAAATAACGAAACGCAAAAACCCCCCAAAAAACGAATCGATTTTAGAAACAAATTTTTCCGTTGTTACCCAGGCCTAATAAATAGATATATATGTATATGAAATATCCTGGCTTCATCTCCGTTCCGGGCAGATGTTGACTCTCCTTAATTGGTGTTAATAAATGTAAGGAACCTTGTGTTGACTTCCTTCTTAACGTAAGGAACCTTGTAAACATTTCCTTAACTTAAAGAGCCATTGTGTCTGATAATGTAAACACGTTTATCCACCAAGAGTTAATCAAGTCAGCAATGTCAACAGTTCAGCTACTTTTAATTACAGTCCATGAATTGTTCACCTCCTTCTTGTAGTTTTCTAGGCCTCACCCCTTATTATTTTTATTTATTTTATTTACACCATTTCTACCCCGCCCTTCTCACCCCAAAAGGGGGACTCAGGGTGAGTAACACAGGAAACAATTCAATAATAATAATAATAATAATAATAATAATAATAATGCATTGTCGAAGGCTTTCATGGCCGGAATCACTGGGTTGTTGGTTTTTTCGGGCTATATGGCCATGTTCTAGAGGTATTCTCTCCTGATGTTTCGCCTGCATCTATGGCAAGCATCCTCAGAGGTAGTGAGGTCTGTTGGAACAACAATTGATCAACAATTGGGTCACACCGTTTACAGAAAGCTCACAGACACACAGATAGATATCTACATAAAAACTCCAACCATCACCCAAGTCAGAAAAGAAGCCCCATTAAAGCCTTGGCAGACCGTTCAATAAGAATCAGCGAAGCCCACCTCCTCCGAGATGAACTGAACCACCTCAACTGGGCTCTCCAGGCCAATGGAGACTCCACCTCAGACATCAGAAGAGCTGCAAGACAACCGAGAAGGAGCCACGAGACTCAAGACCAAAATCCGCCCAGAGGAAAAGTGTTCTTGCCAGACATCAAGGGAACCACTGACCACAGAGGGAAGCTGATAAGGAAACACAACATACAAACTATCTACAGACCCACTAAGAAAATCCAACCAGTGCTCCGTTCAGCAAAGGACAAGAGGGATCCTCTCACCTCTGCAGGAGTCTACCGTGTATCATGCAGCTGTGGACAAGAAGTCTCCAGAGGGACCACCAAACGCAGCAGCAGCATTGCCCAGACACGCATCAAGGAACATGAAAGGCACTGCAGACTCCTTCAGCCAGAGAAGTCATCCAAAGCAGACACAGCATATTATTTGAGAACACAGAAGTGCTGGACCACTCTCACCACCACCATGTCAGACTACACAGAGAAGCCATTGAAATCCACAAGCATGTGGACAATTTCAACAGAAAGGAGGAAACCATGAAAATGAACAAAATCTGGCTACCGGTATTAAAAAAAACTCTAAAATTACAACAGCACAACAACAGAGAGGAAACAAACAAAGACATTTAATCACCTCTCAACAAAAGATTGCTTCAGGCACTGTCAGGCCATTATATGCGAATCAAGGTGGTCAGTTGAAACATTCACAGCTAGCTCCAGCAGACAAGAGTCCTTTGTCCCACCCTGGTCATTCCACAGATATATAAACCCATTTTCCTACACCAAAAAAAGTGCCAGGCCATCTAATGCTAATCAAGGTGGTCAGTTGAAACATTCACACCTTCCTCCAACAGACAAGAGTCCTTTGTCCCACCCTGGTCACTCCACAGATACATGAATAAACCCAATTTTCCTAGTTCCAACAGACTTCACTACCTCTGAGGATGCTTGTCATAGATGCAGGAGAAACGTCAGGAGAGAATGCCTCTAGAACAGTGTTTCTCAACCTGGGGGTCGGGACCCCTTGAGGGGTCGCGAGGGGGTGTCAGAGGGGTCACCAAAGACCACCAGACAACACAGTATTTTCTGTTGGTCATGGAGGTTCTGTGTGGGAAGTTTGGCCCAGTTCAATCGTTGGTAGGGTTCAGAATGCTCTTTGATTGTAGGTGAACTATAAATCCCAGCAACTACAACTCCCAAATGTCAAGGTCTATTTTCCCCAAACTCTACCAGTGTTCATATTTGGGCATATTGAGAATTCGTGCCAAGTTTGGTCCAGATCCATCATTGTTTGAGTCCACGGTGCTCAGTGAATGTAGATGAACTACAACTCCCAAAACTCAAGGTCAATGCCCACCAAACCCTTCCAGTATTTTTTGTTGTTCATGGGAGTTCTGTGTGCCAAGTTTGATTCAATTCCATTGTTGGTAGAATTCAGAATGCTCTTTGATTGTAGGTGAACTATAAAACCCAGCAACTACAACTCCCACAGGACAAAATCAATACTCTCCCCCAACCCCACCAGTATTCAAATTTGGGCATATTGGGTATTTGTGCCAAATTTGGTCCAGTGAATGAAAATACATCATGCATTTCAGATATTTACATTACAATCCATAACAATAGCCAAATTACAATTATGAAGTTGCCACAAAAATAATGTTATGGTTGGGGGTCACCATAACATGAGGAAGGGTGTTAAGGGGTCGCGGCATTAGGAAGGTTGAGAACCACTGCTCTAGACCATGGCCATATAGCCCAAAAAAAACCTACAACAACCCAGCAAATCAAACGTTTTGAATATAAAGAGGAAATATTGCAAGGAGAGAAGTTGTGGGTGCAGGGCCATTGTAATGGGAGTTTATTGGAAGTATAAGGTTTGGGCTTGTTGAGATGTCAATCTACGGGTCTCTTGTCCTCTCTCCAGGCCACTGGCGTCAACTGTGAATGACAAGCTGGAACTGCAGGAGTGTCTGGAGCATGGCAGGATAGCCAAGGTGAGCATGGGAAGTCGTTGCAAGGGGGTGCGCCGTGGGGCCAAGAAAGGGTCTGCAAGGATCTCAGGAAAGGGCTGCACTTCCCTACTTCTCATACCGCCCGCTTGAGAAGGGCGGGGTAGAAATGCGCGAAATAAATAAATAAATATGAAAGCATTACGTTGACCTCTAGCTTCACGCTTGTTGGCAAGGCGTGCGCTTCTCCAAACTCTTAATTACAAACGGTCTTCTCTAATTAAATCTCCACTATCTTCAAGGCCAGTTAGCTCTTTATCTTTGCCCTCCTTCCTTCCCTTCCACCCTTTTGTCCTTCTTTTCACTTTCCTTCCCTCTCTCCTTTCTCCTCCCTTCCTTCCCTTTTGCCTTTCTTTCCCTCTTTCTCCCTCCCTCCATTCACTTCCACCCTTTCATCCTTCCTTCTTCCTTTCCTTCCTCCTTCCATTCCTGCCTTCCTTTCTTCCTCCCTTCCTTCTCTTCTTCCTCCCTCTTTCTCCTTCCATCCTTTCGTCACTCCTCCTCGCAGGGAGTGCTAGCATGTGGCCCCCAAGTTAGAAAGTTTGCCCCACAGGGGCTTCCTATTGCATTGTCATTGGCTAGTAATAGAAGGGCCTTCCCTTTGGGCCCCTGAGAGCCCAAAAGCAAAAATCCTGAGAGGAAGAGGAAGCAGCCAGGACCCCCTAATGTTGTCTTTTCGGGTTTGTGTGTTTGTTCCAGTTCAGCAAAGTCCGAACCATCACCACTCGCTCCAACTCCATCAAGCAAGGCAAGGACCAGCACTTCCCCGTCTTCATGAACGAGAAGGAAGACATCTTGTGGTGTACCGAGATGGAGAGGTGAGGCAACGGGGGTGCCTTGGGGCTGGGAATGGGGCTCAATTCCTGGTCCCACAACCACGTCTTTACCTTCCTCCTGAAGGAGAGGAGGGATGTTGATGCCCTAATTTCCCCCGGGAGTGAGTTCCACAGGTGAGGGGCCACCACTGAGAAGGCCCTGCTCCTCGTCCCCACCAACCTCACTTGTGATAGAGGTGGGGTCGAGAGCAGGGCCTCCCCAGATGATCTCAAATTCTGAGGTGGGACGTAGAGGGAGATATGTTCAGACAGATACACTGGACCGGAACCGTACAGGGTTTTGTAGGTCAAAACCAGCACCTTGAATTGTGCTCGGAACTGAACCGGCAGCCAGTGGAGCTGACACAGCGGGGGGGGGGGGGGGGGGGGGGTGCTCCCTGTATGTCACTCCGGTGAGCAATCTGGCTGCCGCTCACTGGACCAGTTGAAGTTTCCGAACAGTCTTCAAGGGCAACCCCACGTAGAGTGTGCTGCAGTAGTCTATTCGGGATGTAACAAGAGCATGGACCACTGTGGCCAGATCAGACTTCCCAAGATACGGGCGCAACTGGTGCACAAGTTGTAGTTGTGCAAAAGCTCTCCCGTCCACCGCTGAAACCTGAGATTCCAGGCTCAGCGAAGAGTCCAGGATCATTCCCAAGGTGCGAACCTGTTTGTCGTGCATTGTCTCAGGAGTTGTCCTAGGTGGGAGTTTTGCTTCCACCTCTCTCTCGTAGAAGGTCAGAGCCATCCCTTGCCCCACAGCCCAGGCCACAGCCTCCCTCTAGCCACCTCGCCTGTTGTTTCCATGGGGTGGCCCTCCCATTTTTGATCCATAATTAATCTGTTTATTTACAGTATTTATAATGGCTTTAATAACACTTTATTTGTACCCCGCCACCATCTCCCCAGAGGACTCGGTGCGGCTTACATGAGGCCGAGCCCAAATACAACAATACAAGCAATAATAAACACAGTACAAACAATAAAAATAAACACATAGACAATAAAATATACAACATTATCAAACAGAAGAACGGCCTGCCTCGGGAGCGTGCTTGCTCCATCCATGTTCAACATCTACACAAATGACCAGCCACTGCCAGAAGGGACAGAGAGTTTCATCTATGCTGATGATCGTGCCATCACTGCTCAAGCAGGGAGCTTTGAGATGGTTGAACAGAAGCTCTCCGAAGCTCTAGGTGTTCTTACTGCCTATTACAGGGAAAGCCAGCTGATCCCTAATCCATCTAAAACACAGACATGTGCCTTTCACCTTAAGAACAGACAAGCATCCCGAGCTCTGAGGATCACCTGGGAAGGAATCCCACTGGAGCATTGCAGCACACCCACATACCTGGGAGTCACTCTGGACCGTGCTCTGACCTACAAGAAGCACTGCTGAACATCAAGCAAAAAGTGGGTGCTAGAAACAATATCATACGAAAGCTGACTGGCACAACCTGGGGATCACAACCAGACACAGTGAAGACATCTGCCCTTGCGCTGTGCTACTCTGCTGCTGAGTATGCATGCCCAGTGTGGAACACATCTCACCACACTAAAACAGTGGATGTGGCTCTTAATGAGACATGCCGCATTATCATGGGGTGTCTGCGCCCTACACCACTGGAAAAATTACACTGCTTAGCCGGTATTGCACCACCTGACATCCGCCGGGAAGTAGCAGCCAATGGTGAAAGGACCAAGGCAGAGACATCTCCAGCTCATCCCCTGTTTGGGTATCAGCCAGCACGTCAAGACTTAAATCAAGAAATAGTTTTCTAAGATCTACAGAGACACTCGCTGGAACACCCCAGCAAGCGAGAGTCCAAAAGGGGCAGGCTCAAACCCAGAACCTCAATCCATGAGTGATACCAGATGAGAGACTCCCCCCTGGGCACGCAGACTTGGAAGGCGCTGAACAGACTGCGCTCTGGCACCATAAGATGCAGAGCCAACCTGAAGAAATGGGGCCACAAAGTGGAGTCCACGACATGTGAGTGTGGAGAAGAGCAAACCAGAGACCACCTGTTGCAATGCACCCTGAGCCCTGCCACACGCACAAGGGAGGACCTTCTTGCAGCAACACCAGAGGCACTCCAAGTGGCCAGATACTGGTCAAAGGACATTTAATCCACTACCAAGCTTGCAAACTTTGTGCTTTGTTTGTTTGTTAAAAAAATGCAATACAACTGTTTGGTTCACTCCTGACATGATAGATAAATAAATAACCTGAAATAATAACACAGTCCAGGTCTGGGCACCACAATTCAGGAAGGAGATGGACATAATGGAAGAGGTCCGGCAACACCAGAGGCACGCCAAGTGAACAGATACTGGTCAAAGGACAGTTAATAGAATACCAAGCTTGCAAATTCTGTGTTTTGTCTGTCTGTTTGTTTGTTTTTGTTAAAAATGTAATACAAATGTCTGATTGCTGATGACACGATAAATACCGGTCCTGACCACTCTCTCTTTCCTGCGCCCACAGGGTCTTTGGTTTCCCGGTCCACTACACAGACGTGTCCAACATGAGCCGCCTGGCGAGGCAGAGACTGCTCGGCCGCTCTTGGAGCGTCCCCGTGATCCGCCACCTCTTCGCCCCGCTGAAGGAGTACTTTGCCTGCGTTTAAGAGGCGCACTCATTGAACTGTCCGAGCGGAGGAGGAGGCGTCTCAACACAACCACCCCCAGGAACAGAAGCGAAGTGCCCCAGAACGGAGGAGGTGGCCAGTGGGCGAGAGGGAGGAGGGAGGGAGGGAGAGGACCCCTGCCCGTGGGCGCGGGCTCCCGCCGCCCAGGTCTTCACCCATCCTCTCCCCAGTTCGAGCCACCCTAAGCCCAACCCGCCGGTCCCGCTCTCGTTGGCAACCGCCCTTTAATTTCCTGCTCTTTCTGGGGTTTGTCTGTTAGTTTGGTTTCTGCCTCTCCTCGCCGGGCCCCACAAAGTGCGGGCCTGGCCTCGGGCGCCACCGACCGCAACAGAGGAAATTCCAGCCGAGGCCAAAGCTGAGCAGGCCGCGGGGCAACGTTGCCCCCGCTCAGTTGAGGAGCACAAAAGTGGGGCGCGCCGCACTTTCCAGCCCCGCTCCAGGGAGGAGCGCAAGCTGGGGAAGCCGCAAGCCCCGCCGAGCCCCTTCCCCGGTCCCCCCGATGCCCCCCCACACCACACACATCTACACACTTTTCTATAGTATTTGGGTGCCTACCACACAGGAGACCTTGATAAAAGCCCAGCTCCTACAGCCGCTCTTACCTCTTGTTTACAGTTTATATATATGTGAGAGTTATGCTAAAGAAATGTCTATATATATAAAAAAGGTACTGTTACTACTGTACAACTGACTTTCAAAATGGTGCTTCTACAACAGCAGGGGGTGGGGCTGAAGGGCAGCTTCTGCGGTGCTTCAAGTGCCAGCCTGCCAGGCGAAGGGGAGGAGGAGGAGAAGAAGGGGCCCGGATCGGGGCCCCTTCTTGCAAAGGCAGTGGCAAAGGGAGGGCAGGCAAGCAGGCAGGCAGGCAGCAGAGAGGCACCCTCCTCTGCCCTGGGTGTCAATGCAATAATTGCTTTTGTGTCCCAAGAGGCAACCCTCCTCCCTCAGGCCAGGGGCTTGGGCCTCCCAGTCCCCCTGTAGAGCTCCCCATGGCGGCCCTACACATTCAGTGGTGCTTTCCCGCAGTCGGCGCGCTCTGGGCCCCCTCCCTGGCTCAAAGATGGGGAGGCCGGCCGGCCGCCCCCCAGCCGGACCCAGCAGTGCCCCTTTTGGTCACCTCCCAACTCCCAGGCTGCAGAGTCCCTTGCGAGGTCTATGGTTCCGCTCTTTCCTTCCTTCCCCGTTTTTGCCCCAAATGCAGGATATCCTGAGGGTGGGAGATGGAAGAGCTCCCCGCCCTGCCCTGGCACCCCATGTCGTTCCTCCGCGATCTCACGTGGTTCTTGGAGGGTCAGCGCCTGCTGCCTCCCTTCTCCCCCTCTTCTGTTTATGGCTGATGTGAATTGTAGACTTCCTGTTTTGCTTGATCAGACTCTGGCTGCGCTGCCCTCCAACTCCCACTCAGAGACACGCACTTGGAGGAGGTGGCGAAGGGCAGGTGGGGGACTTCCGGGGACAGTTCTTGTGCAAGGAGGCCACGATTTCGGGTCACATTTTCTTGGCAATTGTGTGCACTTTACTCCTTCGGCAACGGGAAAGCAACCCTTTGCCTGCGAGACCCTGAGGCAGGAGGCACGAGGGGCAGCCGGTTGTGCTGCGGACGCGAGTCTGCCATTCCCTTCCGTTTTGGGGGGATTGCTCCCGACGGGGGTCCTGAGCCCTTGGTGCTAATGGGAAGTGGGGTTGGAGACCCCCTGAGAGAAGCTCTCTGCCTCAGCAGCTCCCCCATCTCGGCCTCTCCAGGGGGACGGCATCTCCCCTCTGCTCCCGTCTTCCCGGCCTGCGTCCATGGTGCTCTCGGGGTGCTGAGGCAAAGTGTGGGGGCTGGGCGGGGGGCGCCTCTCGCCCACCTCGTCCCCTGGCCAGTGCTCCCCCAGGACAGCCCTCCTCAGGCGGGAATGCCCCGAGGAAAGGCCGCTGGCCTTGGTGCTAATAATATTTCAGGGAGTCAGTTGGGGTGGCGAGCAGGCGTCTCCACTCACTTCCCTTCAAACTGTGAAGGGTGCTGGGGGGTCTCACTCAGGGTCTGGTGGGGAAGGGAGCGTGGCGGAGCCCTCTGGGTGGGGCACAATTGGGGTGCCCCTCCAGCTGGTGCCTGTGGCTGGCAGCCCCCCTCACACTCTCTTTTAATTCTAACGTCCACCCCGCCAAACACACACACATACACATACATACTGGGCTGTTAGGGCCGGCGGTGTCTCAGTTTGAGCACCACCTCCCACCCCAGTCATTTTGCAAGATTTCTAACCCACCCGCCGCCTTTCCCAACCTACTTGCCACAGAGGCGACAAGTACAGAGAGGGAAACGTTCCCTCTGCCGCCCTCTTCTTGTTGAGTTTCACTGGTGCTAAATGGGAACTAGGAGACCCTGTTGTAACCATGATTTGCCCGTGCCGACTTCCCACGCAGGGCCACCTGAGCCAAGGGGTTGGAAAAGGAGCGGAGGCTCCCGAGGGGGGAGTGGGCAGCGGGGAGCCGACTGTTCCAGGTGCACCAACCCCTTTTTTAGAAGCTACGCTTTGGAGAAGAACCTTACGAAGTGCTCACAGAAGCGACGCCTGGCTCTTCTCCAGCGCCTTCCTTTCAGAGTATAGGTTTAGCCGAGAGGTTGGCCACACCGTCCCCCAGTTCGAGGTCTCGATCCAGCGGCTCAGCGCTCGCTGCATCTCCCATATCTGCCCCCCCCCCAACTCCGCAGCTGTCAGGCCGAGAAGGGCCCTCCCCATTGTGCGCCCCCTTGCCCAACCTGGAAGTGGGGAAGCCTTCTTTTGTCTGTCCAATCCCCCCAGAGTCTTTGTCTTGGGCCTGTTTTGCTGTCTGCCACAGAGCCCCCCACCCGTTTTCCCTCCAGAGGGTGGGGGGAGGGGGAGGAGGGACGGACTGGACAAACAGACTTGACTCAGAACCCCCCCCCCCCTTTTACAAAGGTCCCTCTGTCAGGTTGCACAGCCCTAGACTGAAAAAAGCCAAGCAACCCGGCCCCTAAACCTGCCCCACCCACCCACCCAGGATTGCCTGAATTCCTTTGGCATCTGCAGAGGGACGAGGTGACAACCAAGGTGCTAAACCGTTTTATTACAGATCTATTGTTAACTTAAGTCTGCTGTCTGGACAATGACTGTTTTTGTTTTCTTGTAGTGGAGTTTAAAAGAGCTCTATTATTTTACTCTTATATATTATTATTAAAAAAAAGGCATTTTAACTTTGTACTTGAAACCTAAAGGAAAAGATTTCATGTGTTTTAGCCTAGTCATTGAAGTAGCTGAGACGCTTTACTGTTTGTGGGAAATCATGTATTCATGCTGACGAGTAATCTGTGGAGATCCTGGAAAGAGCTCCAGCCTGTTTCCCTGCCCTCCAGCCGCCCGACATTCCACGCAGCAGCTCCACCCGGAAACCATTCTCTCCTTTTTCCCCTCCTTCCTTCCTTCCTTCCTTCCTTCCTTCCTTCCTTCCTTCCTTCCTTCCTTCCTTCCTTTCCTCCCTCATTTCTTTCTCCATCTCCTTCCTTCCTTTTCTCCTTCCGGCTTCTTGGCAGGGGGTTGGACTGGATGGCTCACAAGCTCTCTTCCAGCTCTATGATTCCTTCCTTCCCTCCCTCCCTTTCTACTTCCTTCCATTCTTCCTTTTCTTCCTTCCTTCCCTCCCCTTCCACCTCCTTCCGTTCTTCCTTTTTCTTCCTTTCTTCCCTGCCTCCCTCTCTCCCCTTACACTTCCTTCCATTCTTCCTTTTTCTTCCTTCCTTCTCTCCCTCCCCTTCCACTTCCTTCCATTCTTTTCCTTCCTTCATTCCCTTCCACTTCCTTCCATTCTTCCTTTTTCTTCCTCCCTCCCTCCCTTCCTTCCTTCCCTCCCTAGTTCCTTCCATTCTTGCTTTTACTTCCTTCCCTCCCTCCCCTTCCACTTCCTTCCATTCTTCCTTTTACTTCCTTCCTTCCTTCCCTCCCTCCCTCCCCTTCCACCTCCTTCCATTCTTTTTTCTTACTTCCTTCCCTCCTTCCCTCCCCTTCCACTTCCTTTCATTCTTCCTTTTCCTTCCCTCCCTCCCCTTCCACTTCCATTCTTCCCCTTCCCTTCCTTCCTTCCTTCCTTCCTTCCTTCCTTCCTTCCTTCCCTTCCTCCCTCCCTCCCCTTCCACCTCCTTGCATTCTTCCTTTTTTCCTTCCTACCTTTCTTCCTTCCCTCCTCTTCCACTTCCATTCTTCCCCTTCCTTCCCTCCCTTCCCTTCCACTTCCTTCCTTCCTTCCCAGGCCCATACCCACCCACCTGCACCCTCGCCTGGCTTTTCTTTTCATTTCCCGGATGATTTGGGGAATGCCCCATCCTTTCTGCCGCTTTGTTATTCTTTTTATTTTTTAGGGTTGCTTCTATATTTATTGACAAATAAATAATAATGTACATTTCAGAGTATGGTTCTGCCCTGCCCGGGGTGGGTGGGGGGAGGCAAGGCTGGCTCCCCATCCCCGTGGGCAGGCGCTTGTATCTCTGTGTAAGTATTGCTCGTGACATAGCTGTTTGATAAACTAATTAAAAGGTCAATGGTGCAGCAGATGTTAGAAAGTCTGTCCGTTCCGCCGCCGCCGCCGCAGCCATCCCATCCTTTGCATCTTTCTTTTGTGCCCAGAACACTCAAATAAGGAAGGCTCCTTGCTGATGTACTTTGTGCTGGAGAACACTTGAATAAATGTTCTGTTTTGTGCAAAAAGAAAACGGAAAAGGAGGCGCTCCGCCGTCTTGTGCTTTTTGTCCCTTTCTCGTGCTGGACCGTTGCAAAGTTGGGAGGCCATTCACACTCCTCAAGAAGGTTAAATGTATTTATTTTATTTATTTAAGACATTTATATTCCGCCCTTCTCAGCCTGAAGGGGACTCAGGGTGGAGCACGGCATATACACATCAAACATTCAATGCCGGGACACAAGTTCACATACAATACATAAACATTAAAAAACATTAATGATCCCAATCATTAAGACTAACACGTGTTTCCAATAGGGCTGGGCGGTTTCGTTTCGTTAATTCGTAATTCGTTAATAATTCGTTAATTTTTGCAATCACAAAACGATAACGAACCATTCTGGAGCAATTTAAAAAAAACGAATTTTTAAATAGTTTTGTAAATGCTTCGTATTTCGTTATTGTATTCGTTTCGTTATTGTTTTGAGGTCGTTTCGTTATTATTTCCGCATGTCTGGGGCAAGTTTTATGGTTGTTTTGTTTAATTAGTGAAAAAAAATTATAATATCACACCAACAGTCAACAACAGAGGGAGAGGGAAGCTTCAGAAGGTTTTGGAGGTTTTTTAGCGTATTTCGCGGTCGCGTCCGCCATTAACGAATCGATTCGTTATTGTTTCGGAAATCGATTCGTTAATGTTTTGTAAATTTTTTTCACATTTACGAAATTTCGTAAATATTGAACTTTTTAAAAGGAAAATTTTGTAATTATTTTAAATAACGAAACGCAAAAAACCCCAAAAAACGAATCGATTTTAGAAACAAATTTTTCCGTTGTTACCCAGGCCTAGTTTCCAATAAATGGAACAGAGATATGCTAAATTTCATATGGGAGGGGAAAAAAGCCAGGATAAAGATAAAAAAATCTTACAGACGCCAGAAGTAGGGGAGGATTAGCTATGCCGGACATGCAACTTTATTTTGAGGCCTGTGCTCTATCATGGGTGAAAATATGGGCTACCCT